GAAACTACGTTTTCAAAAGACAATTGTTCGGATAATGAAGACAAAATTACATGTTCACCTGAGTGATTTATTATTAATCCGATTATTCTAAAACCACAGGGTACAATACTTCATATGCAAGATGCCTCAAAGAAACCGCGACACAGAAAATCTAGATGAAAAATACACAAAAGTGTCTTAACCATGGAAACCATTGGACGTTCGAACCTCCTATTTACCGAGGAACAATCTCATATTTATTGTCAACCATCACAAAACTATCAGGATGGCGTTTCACCGTGTTCACCGGCAGCGATGGGATCAAAACAGCTTCCAGATGTCTCGAGTCAAACATCGGGACTCGAGAAATCCCAAAATGTGTTGCAAGCGTGCAATCACCAAACGTCTTTCAGATTCTGGAGGTATTTAGAATTTAGGTATCTCCAGACTATCGCAAAGAAAACGTTCAGACTACCAAAGACTTTCAAGACTTCAAAGATCCTCTAGACATCCAGCTTAATCCGAAGACAGTTTGGTACTGAATAAAATCCAGGAACTTCCACTGAAAGATTCCAGGTTACCAAGTCAGACTACTCGCGAGCAACAGTATCGAAGTCCCACCACAACCCTGCCGGTCGAGTCGATTCAGAGGCTGGTAGCTAACCGATTCGATCATTTTGCAACAGGGATGGCTTTGGTAACACGCGACCGCCGGAGGATCCGAGTGACTCCGACGAAGCCATGACGAAGAATCCATCGTGCGACCCGTGATTAAGCGTTCATGCTAAAGCAGGCTCGATCATACGAGGAAAGAACTTCGCGAAGCTCTCTGGTGTCCCAGCGAAATTCTTTCCCCACCATTTGATGGACCACTATCTCCACGATGAATCGTACTGACCAAACCAGGTGGCTAGAAAATGGACTCTTGAACATCTTAACGTAGAAATCAGGAAAGAAATAAAAATTGACACGACATCGTTTCTGGTGCACATCGATAGAACGGAAACGCGACACCGTTTTCTAGATCCTCTTTAGCATTCAGGTCGTAGCAGTTCTGTTGTGTGGACTGGTTTTTCTTTCTGTCTAATACGATCTTCGTGAAGAATGTTCCCATGTTTTCATCGTAGAAACGAGCGACAAACAAGACTCGATGGTTTTTCGTTTGAATTTATTCAGGACCAGTGGCGTTGATTTTGTGAGCAGAGAAGAATCGATTAGAGTTAGGTTCGGCGATTCGAAGGGAGATCAAAGTTCTCCTGAATCACGAACGAGAGCAGAGTCCCGATAAAGGAAAATGCAGCGAATACCGTGAAACCTGACCGCAATTGAAGTAACTGAGACGCGAGTCGTTAAACTTCAACCACGATAAACAGGTTTCAATCGGCCACTTGACGTTTCATTATGCTGGACGATTTGCATAATACTCCGGTAATTTCAATCTCTCGGACGGTAGTAAATAAGAGCGCGACGGTCGTCTTTTCGAGCATGGACTACGGGAAATGAGTGATACTGAGAGAATATTACGGCGATCGTAAGTTCGAGACCACTGTTTATTTCTGATAGTTATGAAAGTCGGTTTTGAATTGTTCTCTAGACTCCTGGTGATTCTCTAATAATTCTTTCTTTTTGTACAAATTATTATTGCACTCTAATATTTACTTCTGTTCCACTTTTTTTCGTACATTAGTCTGTTGATTTTGAAACAGTTACTCTTGATTTGGAGATTTCTGTTATAATGAAGATTTTGATTATACGCACAGATATTTAATACTGATTATAATTGTCTATTTTATTAAATATGAAAATGTAGTGGTAGATAATACAGTCTCGAACTTATGACTGATAATATTCAGGATGTTTCATGAACTCCATCAAAAGTACTATAATTATTCATATATTTTTTTACTCCTAACGTTCTACTGAAATGGGAATATCTTGAACAGAGCTGATATAAAATGTAGCCGTGCAATTTAACTTCTTACTAATCTGAATAATTATTCTTCCAAAACAAAATTTTTAAACATTGAATGTACGAAAATATAGAAGAATAATTAGTTACAGTGCCTGTGTAAGGCAGACTGCTTCTATTAATTTCCTCCCATTCTCGTTTTGCCATTTAATACACTCATCATTATGAAAGTACCTCTAAATAATAAATAACATCAAGAACATCAACAACGTGTAAACATTCAGGAACAATTCCATCGAGTAAAATTCAAATTAAGCAAAATGTGTTTTATTAAATCGTACCACGATACTTCGTTATTCATTCGACGAACACAATGCAAACATTAAAAGGTACTCCATTCCGATTGAAGTTGTTCAATTAGCAATTCAATTACTAAATTCAAATACCAGCTTTAATTGCTCAGATTTAACTCGAATGGGTTCTCGTATGCAATGGAACCATCAACGAAGGAATTGAACTGAAAAAAGAAAAACGAAACACAGAATATTGCAAAGCACACAAAATATTGAAGAATTCGTAAACGGTACAGTTAACGAAACATCCTACAGAAATAAAAAAATAATCCTTTGAGGGAAGGTAATTGTCGCCCATAAATAAGTCCACAGCACGAAACGATCAGTTTGCAACGATTTCGAGTATTTCGATCGGTTTTCCGGCCGATTCGGGGAAAAACCGTACTAAAAACTAGTCGAATAAACGCTCGTGACCCCGGTGTCGTGCTTATCGCGCCGTTTTATACGATCGTGTATATTTCATGTCGCATGCAAACGCATTAATATCTCTGTGCTCCGTGAAGGACGACAAGCGAATTTTGTTTTCTTCTAAAAATTGTTCTTTTTTTTTCAGGCAATTTCAACCCACTACCAATCGCAAGCACAAAGAAAGGAAGGAGACGTAAAAACACCAAAGACCTCAGCTGGAGAGGGAGTACACATCAGAAGCGCTTTTGGTGAACATTTGAACGAAAAGAAAATAAAAATAGTAAGTAGCAGACTCAGAAAATAAAGTGGGGAGGTGGAGGGGGAACGAACAAAACCCAGAGACGGCCGTTACACGTATAAACAGACACGTGCGGATCACATGAAAAGCGAAGCACCATTACCCAACGCGCGTGACTTCCGGGAAGAAAATACATATATGCATTGATCTTTTCCGACCTAAGAATTCCTCGTACACCGTCGATCGACAGAAAAGTTACAGGTAACCTTTGTTGTCTGGCGATCGAAGACGGAAATTATAGAATTTTAAGAGAAACAATGAAAGGAGAATTTTGAATTTTTGAAGATTTAATCATTGTTGTAATATGACCGAGATAATACGTTAACCTTCAGAGAACAGGTTCTGTTCTCGACCATATATTTTTCATAGCGTTCTACTAAGACAAATAGAAAACCCCTCTGAAGCCCAAAAATAGGCTTCCCTTTCTCCACAGGTTAATTTCCAATGATTTTCAATATTCTACACAAATACAATTTCTATACAATTGTTGCAAACGTAATACCTCTATGTAATAATGATAGCATCCACGAGAGTTCAATCGCAAAAGTAAGAAATTTCAAGAGAATTCCTCGAGGATTCGAAGAAATGCAAAGTGTAATTTCTCGTGAAGTCGCGTGATTTGGGAATGTCGCCGACAACCGTGCAGCCTCGAGTTTCCTTTGGGTAAGGAGTGATAGTCGAGGTTTCCGTGTAACGTTGTTCCTCGACCGAGAGGAACGAAAAGCATTCGCTCGGCCGCGAAGGAAATCTCGTTTCCTCTCCACGGATGATTTACTCCCGAGGCTGCACGGGAACGTCGAGCGGAAAAGCCAAGGTGTTTAGGGTGCCGATGCATGTACGTGGACCAAGGGGTTTGTCGGACGGTGTGTGTAAAGGGGTTTTCTGGGACGGGGACCAGGTGGCCTGTACAACGAGGGGTGGAGAGAGCATTCCGGTACACGGGGGGCAAACATTCTACGGGACGTTGCGGCATTTGGTGAAAATTGGATATTCGACGGAGACGTTCCCGGGATAACCAACTGAACCGCGAAATATTGAAACTGTTGGATACCTGAGCTGTATACGGGACGTCTCGATGAACAAAGACTTCTAACCCATTTAATACTAGAACTACCAAACCCGTTATAATAATTACTGAAATTTTCATAGTTTTTTTAGACGAAAATTACAATGGTCAATTATTGCACGTCACTGTACAATAATTTTAAAAAAGCTTTGTAAAGTAGCTTCAAAAGAAACGTTAAAAATATTGTATAATTGCAATGTGCACTGCATCTGAGAAGGATAATTTAGTAATTTCTACTGTAAGTCGTCTTTCTACTAGAAATACCTATTCACTTAAAAACTCCCCACGAAAGTCTATCTAACCAGCGAATAAAAACCCCGCGAAACTCATTATTACACGAAAACAAAACCCCCACATCCCCGTGGTCTTCTCACCCCTAGGATACACCCTGCACAACAACCCCTCAACAATCTCCCTCCCCTCCGACAAAAAAAACCTCCAACAAAGTAAAAAAGAAAATAAAAGACCCCTTCCCACTCATCTCTCCATCCGCGATTCATCGAGCACCCGATCCGCAATCAAAGATGATTCAGCGGTTCCCGAAAAGTAGTGGCCCGAATCGGATCCTGGTCGAGTCAGAACGGCAAACAAAAGGTCCAGACTTCCACCAATTACCGCGATCGTCGGGGGATTGTGTAATCTGACTCGAGGAGCACGTAGAGTGTATGTATGTCTGTGTGTGTGTGTGTGTGTGTGTGTGTAGCAGGGCGGTGAATTGGTCAGGTACAGTGACGTTTTCGGAGATCGAGGGGACTAGGTTGTCATGGAGGATTCAGAGAGTAGTAAGTAAAGGGAAGAGGAGGCAAGAATAAATAGATCTGCTCTGTATACACGTGGTGATTTAGGGTTGTATATATATGTATGTGTGTGTGTGTGTGTGTACCGGGGGTTGGGGGTCTGGTGGTAAGTATCTCGTTCGAAGGGGGGTACAGGAAGAATTTTGAGGGGCGGGGTCCGGGGGTGGATCACGAAAAACAAAAGACTTACGGCGTCTGCCACGAGGTGTGCGGGCGGGAGGGCTGCCTGCAAGTGTCCACTCTTCAGCAGGGGGTCGGCGAGGCCTGCCACGCTGGCGTGTAAGGGGCTCGGGTGGAGAGGAAGATGTGGTGAGGTAAGGTGGGCCGTGGATAGGAGCGGTTGCCCGTGAGAAGCGGCGAAGGCCGAGGAGGAGGGGTGGGCCGCGAAGGGCGAAGTCGTCAAAGTTTGGGTGTTCAGCGAGGGCGGGGTGGGCCCGGCAGCGGGCGCGGACAATGGCAATACTGTACTTACGTCCGAGTGAGCGGGCACCGCGTAATTACCCTGGATGGTGTAGGCTTGCCCACCAGCCAGGATCACTGGCCCACTAACTTGGGGTTTGGGGCGATAAGGGATCGTGGCACCTTTGGGAGGGGACTGAAACAGAAAAGAACACACGCACGAGTGCGAATAGACTGATCTCCGTGGCCAATGAGCGTTGGTGACGGTGCGCGTTTCTGTCTTTCTTGTTTTTTTTTTCGCGCACACCGTCTTTCAGCGTTGATTGGTTCCAGGGTGTTGACTCGGTGTCTTTTTTTTTTCTTTTTTTCTTAAGAGACGTCACCCTTGATCTACGCTGTTATGGAGAATTGCAATTAGTGTCTGTCGCCAAAATTTATTTTCTTTCCTCTAAAAAAAAAAGATACTTAAGTTTTGCTAAATATGTATTATGCATTTTGCAAGCGAAGACTCGACTTTATAACTCTAGATATGCAAACAGAAGAATTGACTTCAAATCACCATTTAGAAATCTCGTTAATCGTTGTAAAATGAAGCTTGCTATAATTGAACAGTTATATGTGTTTCATTATTATTAAAATGTTGCCAATCAAATGGGGCGTTTTATCATTGAACCGATAACATGTCATTATTAAGTGTGATATCCTTATCAAATGGCAGCAAAACTGTTTCTGACTCATTTATTAATCATCACTAGGCGCGTGCAATGATTGACGAGATTCCTCGCTCAAATGCGTGCGATCGTGGATGTACCCAACAGGGGACGGTTCCTCATCGATAAAAAAGACGGACTGAAGTTTCATGAACCATTAAAATTAGGTCAGATATTATTTCTGTCTAACACTTGAATTTCATTTAATCGTATCAATAAATAGAAAATGTCCAAGATAAAAATACACAAGACAATAAAACATTGTGTATTCTACCTAGGTCTGTGCTGTTCAACATAAGCTTCAGGGTGTAGGGCCCTTTCCTCACTCTATCACCACTGCTACCCCTATTCTGCTCTTTATGTTAACAAATAGAATACAGCACGATGTAAAATGGTCACAGAAGCGTATAGAAAACAGCTTTACAGCTGTTAGATTATTCTAAGCCTCTAGATTCAATGGGGAGGACTCTTTATGTACTGCAGGCCCCCATCCACATTGCTAACAAAGGACAGCAGCAGTAGTAAAAGGCACAGAATTCAATGGTTCTTATACTTCTTGTCGTTCGCTTAATATTAGAGACAGAACTAGGGAGAGCCTAATTTACTAATGAATGATGCTTGGACATCACTGATCTAGACCCATCCGGGACTACCTCTTTGAGTAAGCATCTCTTTTAAAGAACCACATCTTTGAGAAACCGCCTTCCTATTTGGTATTCCAGGAATTGCAGCTAGGCTTTTATATAAAAACCTAAGTTCTAACGATTTCTAGACAAATGTCAGCGTTGACCAGGGTGACGTCGGCGAGAGGCCGTACTACCGGGTGTACGTACCTCTAGCATAACACAGCAGATGTGATATATGCACTGTGTGATGGCCTCGCTGGTGCCAGATATGGTAACAGTACGTTCCGTAGAATTGGGCAGCATTTCGGAGGCGACTTGAATCGAGGCACCGGTCACTTCGCGAATCTCCTTGATCTTCGATCCACCTTTACCGATAAGGGAGCCGCACTGGGACGCGGGCACGATCAGCCTGAGCGTGATCGGCGGTCTGGTCGCGCCACCGCCACCTTGGTTGTTGTCGTGGAACTGCGAGCACCATTCCTCGAACTTCTTGCATATTAACGTGAACGCTTTGAAGATCGCGTTCGTTGGCCCGGTGACGGTTACTATCCGCTCCTGGCAAGATCCATCGGAGATGTTGATCTTTGCACCAGACTGTAACAAACGAAGATGTGCCTGTGGTTAAGAAATCGTTTCGGCTCTGGAAAGTGACGTTTAACTTAACACGTTACAGCGCTACTGTTGTTTCGTGGGCAACTGTCTCAACAACGTCGACGTAGAAATATGTCCATATTATTCTTAGCTGGTAGAATAGCAGGAATAGATCTACCTGCTTCAGTACGTAGTACTGAGTAAGTGAACAGTTGGAGCTACTGTTTAGGGAATACTTCCAATGGTTGCAGAGATAAACTGTTACATTGTTGTTTATCGAATTAAATTGGGCCTGAATGATCTATTTCTTGCCTTAGAAGTTCTAGTAGTAGAAATATCTATTACTAGAGTATAATAAGCAATTGGTGTCAAATTACTTTATAAATTTCTATAATGAAAAATATAACAAAGAAATGTGGGATTCGACAGTGCACGAGAGTTAAACATGTGCTGGACATATTTCTTTGCTGACGTTCTTATTAAGCTTAATATTAACAACCTACGGATTAGGTGAGTAATCATGGGTTTAGAAGTTAGGCAATGTTTGTAAAAGGGAAAAGCTGTCCACTTGTACTTAAAAGATAATCTTCTGTAGCTTTCCAAAACTTTTTTGACCAGCAGAAACATTTCAAAAACTAGCAATACTTTGAGTGATCAATTAAGTGTATCTACTGATAATCAACCAGTGAACATTATTTCCAAACTAACAATAAATATTTCAACAAAGTAATCGAATTCATCGAACGTCTTCGGTCGATAAATATAGTATCATAAAACGAAGAGTAAATAAATTAAAACCTGTTCCAGGGACCATAAAGTTTTAAAGAATCTTAATAAGAAATAAATTAAGCCATCGATAACTTACCTCCTCGCGGAACCTTTTGACGATCTCTCCTTTCTTTCCAATGATACTTCCGACCTCCTGCAACAGACGACGACGTTACGTTATTACTCCATAACTTTTACGACATCCGAACGCAACAGGGATCATAAACTTTCGAACATACACCCGATTACGCGTATGAGTTATGCTATACTCCCGTGGTACCAGGGTGCGATACAGTAACCGGTCGTAAATACAGGTTGGCTTAGAGTCGGTTTAGTCTATCTTTTCAATAAATTAACGGATTTACGGTGCCTTGGTAACACGATAAATACCCGCTCCAGGTAATGTAATGGAGAATGGACCAATGTTTCGGAACTATGAGAAGCGATCCACACACACGCTGTGTAATTTCCATAGCCCGAAAAGCATTTGGGGGGAGAGAAGCCACTCGAAACGATCGCGCGTTCGAGCATCAACAGTATAAATACGCTAAATGTTCATCGGTCGGATGATGTGCGTGCTCTTGACACTCGGTAATCACTCGCTAGCACCCAATTATCCGGCTCAATATATGCGGGGATCCTCTTGTGAAATCGGTTCCGTCCGCTTATCGATGACCGATGGACGAGTGATTCTCGTGACGCGTATGTGCGGCGTTCATCTTGTCTATCACTTTTTACGCCCCCCGGGTACTATATACGGTGGACCACGATGGAACACTGTTGGATGGAAAAAATGTTTGCCCGTGATTCACCATCAGTCCAGACGTCATAAATAGATTTAATTAGTCTTTTCTTAACCGTTTACGCAAGTGTAGTGTAATCAAGGTAAATCATATTTTCTTAATGTCTCTTTGCCACCAGAACCAGAATTATTGTCAACTACCAAAATTATTCTTTCTTGGCACTAAATCGAAACGATACATAAGTCTACTTTACGACCATACGGAACGGCTTTCACCGAGATTAAGCAATTAAAGGATTCCCCATTCCAGCTCGTACCAGTGACGCAGACCCAATCGTTATTAAGGTGATCAATGTACCGAAGCGTCTGCTAATTTTCATAGGATCGCCGAGGAAGACGATGAGATCCGCTAATTTTCATAGGATCACCGAGGACGATCAGATTGCTAATTCCAGGACACAAAGGCGGTCTGGGCGGAACGGGAGGGCGAGTGATCCTCTCTCTTTGCGGAACTCGGCCGGAGACCGCATACGCTAGCGGGGAGGGCACGATGTGTGCGTCCGAGCCTATAATTAGTTGCGTGTTCCCCGTAGCTTGTGTCCAGCCAGATCTCGTGTCTTCCTTGACACGCTCTGACCCCACCGATAATGTCACCGCTTAGGCTTCTGGGCGAGCAGGTATGCGCGCTGGTGCGCTACCTCTAAACTTAGATATGGCGGTCGCACTCTCGGGCCTCGCCGACCGAGATGCCAGGCGTCTCGTTCCACCGGCAGAAGACGATGCCACGAACGCTCCACAGTATCGTGCTAAATTCTTGATTTCGCGACTGACAACGATCCAAGAGCCCCCATGCATCCCCCCACCCTTCTTCTAGCCGGGGCGTTTACATACGGCTAAATTCGAGCGTTCGAGATTATTGGACGCGTTTTGCTGCCTGTGACTTTCATGATTCGGGCGACTATTCTGTAATTGAGTCACAGCCATGGTACACAGTTTCGAAACAATAAGGAATTACGGGGATTTTATTGGACTGTTTGGTTTAGGTATTTATGACTCGTGATTAGACTGCGGACTTTATGCATTTATAGCGTTAGGGATTTCTAGGTGCGGCATTTATGAATTCGAAGGAGAAATACATACTGAAATGTATGCCAGACGTTTGGAAAGAAAGAATAAAATTAATAGAACACTTGAAAAATATACCAGAAGAAAATAGGAGAGTATATAAATTTCATGGAAAAACGGAATGAAATGGAAATAAAAAATGAATAAATACCGTTTATAGGTGTTACATTTTATTCACGGACACAAATAAGAGTGAACGGTCCCGGCTGGAAGTTTAATAAAACTGTGAAAGAAATGTCCTTATAAATTGAAATACTTTTCCGTGCAATTTCACGGCTTAATCGAGTCGCGGCCGTTCCACGATACAAGAGAAAATCGTTAAGTCTGAGTCGAGGCTTGCAACAGATCGGTAAATATGAAACTTTTCCAAGGAGGCGAACGCTGATTCTCCGCCGGGTAATTGCGTCGGTCTCAATGTCGCAGTTAATTAAAACGTTTAATGAGGGCAACGCCGCCGAACTAATTACTCTAAATCCCGTACAAACGTCTAATTCCGCCCGAGACCGCCGGAGCGCGATCAAACGACAGCGAATTTCATCTTTCGAAAATGTAAACCGGTTTGTCACGATTAATTCGACGACGTTTAAGTACGCGAAAAAAAAAGTCGAGAAGAACGTTAATTCGTTCGAGCTGAATGTGCAGGATGTTTCATTAACGGCAATGAGGAGTACCCCATTAACCTAAGAACTTAACCCTAGAACTACCAACCACGTCAAAATGACAGCTTACAGGTATCTTACTTTACAATTACTGAAGTTATAATAACGGATTTATCGTAGATTTCTGTATAGTATACTTCTGATTTAGTATGCATTCCACATGAGACTATATTACGCTAAATTGTATTATTACTAAATTGTACAAGTTAATTAATATACATTCACTGCTGGTAGGTCTATTCTTAACGTTCAAAAGGTCAGGTTAACGCTGGTGCTATCACCACGTATTCAATCAACTCTGAAAAGACACAGACCAAAATTAAATAAATCCGCCCCATCCAAAGAATCTCCTCCAATTAAACAGCCCCTTAAGGGTAGCGCTGGCAATATGCTCAGCGCCTTGGTCCCCCTGGCAACGCAGACGAAGCCCGACTGGGCTTTCTCGCGGATGAAGCGCGCACGGTACAACACTGTCTCTCAAAGGATCATCCCCCTTGTCCAGATATAGAAACCCTCGCATTTAGCAGTCCAAGAGAAAGAGAGAGCCCATCCTCTCGGGTGTTCACGAATCAACGGCGCATCGACCGGACCGCCGCGATCTCGAAAGTCCCCTCTTTTGTTCCTGCTGGTTCTATGTTCCCCTCGGGGTCGAAATAAATCGGGTACGTAGGATCCCGCGAAGGCGCCAAGCCCCGTAAATCATCGCGCGGAAGAGAGCCCTCCCCTTTGGCCAGGCTCGAAGCTGGACAACCGCGTCACCGTCGCTGAATCCTCCTTGGAGGCAAATATAGCTGGAACAAGAAGACGTCGACGGGGGCCGCGGCAGAGTGGAAAACCGCGGATGTCCCCTGGCCGGGGGCCAATTAGCGAGGTCATACACCACTATACAGTACCCTGCCATTGAATTATGACCGACCAGAGAATTGTAGAGAATTTTCTTTTTCCCCTAAATAAAACAAATTCAATTTGAGTTTTCGTACATTTTTATAATATACAGGGTGAACCACGAATAGTGATCAGTAGAGATTACTCTGTTATTAACAGTCCGATTGAAAATGTTTTTATCGGGTATGGTTTCAAGAGAGCTGTAACATGATTATAGCAAATTTTTTGTCACCTTCAATTTTTTTACGCCTATCTGTTAGACGATTCTACTCTATTAGGAATGCTTTGAATACATTTTTTAATCATTTCTTTCAGTCCATCATCATGTTGTTTCCACACTTCTTTAATAGGTTTCTTCAATTGAGCAACTGTAGTATGTTTCCGGCTATACACCTTTGATTTTATGTAAAACCAACTGTTCTTTTAGATCTTTTTACAACTGCTATTTTTTATGAATATGTACATGATTTACCACTTTCTGAGTTAGGGATGCACTCAACAGATGCATAATAAGGCCTTTCCCCCTAAAACAGACGAAGATATTCTGATGCTAATTAAATTACAAATATTCTTGGAAAATGCAATCGGTCATACTTCGATGGGGTACTGTATATCGTTGCTAGGCCGGGGATCCGCGGTGTAAATCCACCGCCACGATCCTCTATTTCACTATTTCAATACGGACGGAAGAAGGATCCATCGAAAAGAAAATTCGCCATCGGGCTTTGAATTATTTCAAGGAACAGACGTCGTACAGCACGATCCGCGAAGACGACCGGTTGGCCGACGGCCATGGCTCTGCTCCAGCCTACCCCCAGTCACTGGAATCCAACAGAAGTCCCTGAAAAGCCTGGATCCCCTATAGCCAGCCTAGAAAAGGAGGATGTTGGCTAGCTGCGCGTCTTTTCAACCGATGCCTGGTCGAACCACCTCCCTCTCCAGTCTACAGAGATATCTCTTCCACGTGGATCGAGCCGTTTACAGGGGGAGAAAAGGGTTCGCGAGATAGCCACGTGGGTGAAAAAAAAACCACAAGGAACATGGTAGCGACGGGACTCGTCGCGCGGAGAGATAAGACGAGGATAGTTGGACAGTGGCCAGATATTTGTGTCGATGGTAGCTGCGGTGTCGCGGAAACGACCGTGACATTGTAGAAATTGGGTAAAAATTATTGTGGGCGGGGGCATTAGTGTTTTCGACATGATTGATTTTGTTGTAATCTCTGTTGGTCTTTCTTTCATACATTCGATGCTGGAACTACCAGAATGTATGCCAATTTAATTTGTGTACTATATCAATACGTGTAATACACAATGCAATATAGCTTGGTATATTATAATATAAAGTATATAAGAAATTAGAGGTGAATAGAAATTCCGATGAAAATATCTCTAGAATTTTAATAATTGTGAAACAAAACATCTGGAATCCGTCATTTTAACGGGTTCGGCAGTTCCAGTGCTAAATAGGTATATAAAAGTCTAGGTACGGTTAGTGTTGAACGATCTATTACAGTTGCATTAAACGATTAAGTTCCTACCTACAAATAAGAAAGATCTGACGGTTCAAAAATCACGAGCACAAAGGGAAAACAGTGGATACGCCTGATGTAACAAGGAAGAAATAGATGAAAAAGGCGAAGGCACACTTGCGCGAGACGTCTGTTTGCCATTGAAAGGATAATGGAATCATGATAATTCGCATTGGACCAAACGATTGGCCGCGGGCCCTGGCCACTGTCCA